GAGAATCCCAAGGACTCCAGAGTTGAGTAAGCCTGACTCTTAATGGCTGGAGTCTTCAGGGGTGGGACTCAGATTTAGCACCACTATTGCTTTTAATGGCTACCTACTCCTATTAAAAAAAAAACACGACACTTTTATAACATAGCCAAAGAAATTATTAGAAATTTGATTTTTTTAAAAAGGTAATATATTTGCTTTAAAAGTCATATAACTAAGTATAAAGAACAATTTTACTGGTATTATTTTTTAAAATTAAAACATGTTTTTTCATGTGCCTGGAAAGTTTTAGATTTAACTATTTTGTAAGCAAAGGGTTTATTTCCATTAGGTTGAAAGGCAAAGTGACTACAATATTTTGGAAATGGTTTTTGTTTGCCTTGAAAGAAATAATAGAAGTTTGGAACTGGGGATGACGGTACAGTTGGGCATAGTTCTACTGAGTTCAATGAGGCTTGTTCCTAGGTAAATGGACACAGAATTAAGGCCTTTCCGTAATGTTGTGTGACTCAGATCACTTATTGCATGAATGCTTGCAAGAGGAACTGGTGTAGCTTTTGAAACAAAGCAAACAAAGATGGAGGCTTGCACTATAGATTGCATTGTTGTCCCCCGGTGTTAGCAACTCCCTATCTTCTGTTTCTTGCTGTTTTGCCCAAGGGTCTTGATTAAGGCAGTGAAACTGCAATACGCCAACCTCAGGGCTCCCACCTCTTTCTTTCTTTTTTCTTTTTTCTTATAAGAACTTTATTGAGTTATAAAAAGCATAAAGATAAAAGCAAACAAGAATAATAAAGGAGAAAAGTAGAGAACAAGAGAGTTAGAGAAAGAATACAAAAGTGATGGAAAGTAAAGAAAGACATGGGGCCAGAGGGACACCAGGCATGCTGCTTACTAATACCCAGACACAAGGACATCTAACAAGCATGAAAACATTCCCTGGAGCTCAAACAATGTATTGGAGCCTTTGGAATAAACACATCCTTCTGGCTTCCTGATTAATGTGAATAACACAGGATGCACATCGCCTTACCCTTCCTTGATAGGGGATGCAGGGAGTTGCTCTGGCATTATAGTAATGTTTGAAAGTGAGCTGCTCTTGGAAAATTCTCGGAAGGCGACTCGGCAGTTGAGGAGATGCAAGTGGAACTGTGATATAAAAACAACCACAACAGAAAAAAAATGGGCACATATATGGTGGCAATTAAACATATCATATGCTTTAAGCTAAATGTGTAAAATCACACATGAGATTCACAAATCTTACACAACAGAATAAAGCTAGTAGTGAAAAGAGGGAGGGATTAATGGAGGAGCCCCACATTCAGAACTCTCTTTCTGCTGTGGAAGTTGCAATATAACCTGAATAATTGCCTCAGAGCCAGACTATCCAGCACAGAGTCTCCTCTAATGTTGCTGCAAGGGACTCTTGTGTGTTATCCTAGTACTATCCCCTCCTACCTGCATGTTCAGCCTACCATTTCTTTTCCCCATGACATTTAAGTACCATTCAGAGGGGGAAATTGTCCAAGAGTGCACATATGTTCTCTCTCTCACACACACACATGTGTGCGCGCACACACACACTGAGGACAGATACTGTAAGCCTGCTTCTGAGTTATGATGCTGTTCTGTACCCCAGGGGTGTTGTTTGGGCTCCTTAGAGAAAAAGTGGGGTACAAATATAGTATGTGCATGTTGCATAATAGTAGAACTCTCTTCCCAGAGAAACATGCATGGTCTGTCAAGTTAATATTTAGAAGGCCTGAATAGACAGAATTTCTTATTTCTGTCTGAATATTGGTTAATTAGTGTGTTAGGCTTGAACAATTTTAGCAGCTATTGCTGATTTGAAATACATGAAGCAGCTAAATAAATCCCACTCTACAACTTATGGGAAACTGATGCTGTTTTCTATTTAAGATTAAATTGCAAAGGTCTTAGGTTATACGCTTAAAGCTAGGTTTATGGGGAGGGATTAAAGGAGCTGTATATTAAGTCTATGAAGCTGTTTTACAATCAGGCAGACCATTAGGCATCTATTTTACTATCTTTTAGGTGCCAACTCATTATTTCTTTGCTCCAGTTTTTGGCAGCATAGTTTTTTTTTCTTCACATTTTATTTGTAGTTGTTTTCAGCTGTTGTTCAGCTTTGCTTTAGTAGTTATTTTATTTTATTTTAAGCAAAATGGATGCCATATTTGATTACTAACCAAGGAGGTGGTAAAAAGGCTACATGTGTTATAAATTTTGTTTATCAAAGTACTCCCAGTTCTGATTGGCCATAATTTCCAAAACTGGTTCTAAAGTATTTTCTAGCTGTGCCACTTAAGGTCCTTTGTAACTGGGAATTCCAGGAACCATGCGTGAGGCCTTTCCTGGCAAAGCACATGCATCCCTAAGGAGCTATGTCTTTATCTCAGAATGTCCCCATCAACAACAAAGAACTTGTGGATACATCACTGAAGGCAAGGTTCTTCTTGGGCAGAATGTGTACTTACATATATTTATGCTTAAGTCACATTATGGTAGTCTTCCAGTTGTTCCATCAGCTCCACCCAGAAATTCAACAACATCTAGAGGGGCTACAAGTTGCCACCCCTGCTTTGCATCTTAATCAACCTCCCCTGCTTCCCAACAGACTAGTGTAATAAGGTTTGCTGCAATTATCTAGCTATTTTTTACAATGTAAGTACACAAGATAGGTAAAGGAAAAGTCTTCTTTGAGTCAAGCTTAATTCTTGATGACTACATGGGCTTTTGCAAAAGTTAAAGAACAATTGGGGCCAATTTATTACAGAGGAATCAACTGAAGGCAGAAATGTGGGTCTACAAAGAGAAGCAGTAGAGGAAAATGTTTATTTTATTTTAGCAACTTCTGGGTGGCCACTGTGTGAAACAGGATGAAGCAGGGCTCTTTTAATATGCATATATGCAGGTTTTACTCTACTTCTTATATTTTTAAAGCTGTAAGTACAAAAGTATAGGCAGCATTCTGAAACCAATTCTCTAATATGGTGTTACTCCAGTAACATTTTTTTTCTTTTTAAGCATGATCTGCTGCTGATGTGTGTTACATGTACATGGCAAGAGAACATCCACTCAGGAGAATATTCAACTGAGAGGAGTATGTGCTCTCATTTAGTAAATTTAATTCATGTCACAGGTGGATTGGGGTTTAGTTTAGATCTTATTAAGAACTAAACAAATCTCTGTTAAATGAGTGTGTATTCTTGCTTATTACATGAACATAACAGACCTTGCTGCATCAGGGGAAGATCTAACTCCAGCCTATCATTCTTTGTAAGAAGCCCAGCAATCAACAGGCACTTAGTGATTCACCAAACACTGGCCAGGATCCATCATTCTGAGTCTTATGATTTGAATCTACTTCCCCTTTTTTGATCATGGGTTCAAATGTATTTTTATTAATTAAATAGATACATTTAAAATGGCATCTATCTAGAATTTGTAATATTTGTTCTCCTATACTGCTCCCACACTTGTCCTATGCCATTCTACACTGTATGGATTCTGGCACCATTGAAAGTCTTCCATTGCCATATTTTTGTCTGAAGGGTTTTAAAGAGCTAACCTAAAGATCCATTTCTTTAGTAGTTCACTAAAGGTCAGAGCGGAGCTAGATAAATATCTGTCAGTAATAGCTTAAGAGTGAATCCAAACCAGTTCCATGTTAGGCTTGGTCACCCAGAATGTCTTTTCATTCCCTGTAATAATGCCCATAAAAAAAAATAGCTGTGCTGGGGCTCTAGTTGGTCTCAAAACAAGGATCAAAATGCTAATCTGTACTTTCAGGTTAGCTTTCAACTCCTGTAAAACCTGATATGCAAGAATAAGCCATAACTGCTTACACAGAATATCTTTTTGCAACTAGCCCATTAAAGAATAGCTCCATCAAGTTCAGCATCCTCAATACAGGTTTTTTTTTTCCTTTGCAAAGCTGTGGCCAAATCTTGATAGAAAAATAGCTCCAGATCAGCTGGCCAACACACTCACATATGGAAGCTATCTCTCTCCCCACCCCATACCGCATTATAAACACAGGGGTGTGACTGGAGAAGCTGTGCTCTCATATCTTTTCCATCTTTTCAAGAAGCCTTACTAATAATAGTAGAAAAAATTATTTCCAAGCTGTAGACAGGATGTAGAGCTTAGTGGCTAAGATGATTAGAGAATAATAAATTGGAAAGGAATCATCCCAGACAAATGGCTGTCCAGTCTTCATTTCAAAAGCTCCAATGATGGATCATCCATAACTCCAGGAGGCAAGATTCTCTATTGCTTAATGGTTCTCACAATTAGGAAATTGCTCCTTACGGTGAGTTTGGATCTCACTGTGAAACTTCCACCCATTGGTCGTCATCCAACCTCAGAGAATAAATCCACACCCTCTTCCCTGTGGCAGCACTTCAAGTATTGGGAGACTGCTATCGTGTCTCCCCCAGCCAACTTTTCTTTGGGCTAAGCATTCCCAATTCTTCTGTTCTTCATAGGACTTAGCCTCCAAGCCCCTCACCATTATTGTTGTTCTCTGCACTCTTTCTAGTTCCCCAGCATCTTTCTTGCACCAATATTCCAGGTGCAGTCTGACCAGTGCAGTAAAGAGTGTTATAATCACTTCCCACGATCTTGACACTATACCTCTATTGATGCAACCTAAAATTGCATTGGCTCTTTTGGCAGGTGTAGCACATTGCTGGCTCATGCTTAATCTGTAGTCTACTAAGACATCCAGATCCTTCTTGCAAGTACTACTGCTGAGTTAAGTACCACCCATCTTCTCCCCGTGCATCTGCCTTTTCCTATCTAAGTACAGAATCTTACAATTCTCACTAATGAACAGCATTTTGTTGGCTAGAGCCCAATGTTCAAGTCCATCAAGATCCTTTTGAACCTTGAGTCTCTGTTATGAGATGTTAGCAAATTGAACTATAAATCAGGGATTTATCAGTTTGAAGTTCAGTTCTCATCAGCTGACCTTATGCAAGTCTTTATCTCAGCCATATCTGCAATATGGAATTAATACTTGTGGTAAGTGTTACAACTGGATAATATATATATTCAACAACTGAAGATACTTTACAAATATCAAATGCCTAAAAATAACAGAACAAAAATTAATAGAGATAAGTGCAAAGTTATGTACTTAGGAAACAAATCAAAGTTACAGGCAGGGTTTCTGCAGGGTAGGTTAAAAACATCAACATAGGATCGCAATCAAAAACTTGTCCTTTTTATATGCATTGCACATACAACACACATAAAAAAGGGGATGGGTTTTGATTGTCCTGTTGTTTCTGCCACCCTGACATTTTCAACCCCCTTCTCCCCATAGATGCCCATGGGGACAGGTATAGGATGGGGAAATAACTGGCTTGGCAATAGAGTAATAGTACCTGTGAAAAATGTTTTCAAATAATAGTTTAATGAAAATTGGATGGGTTAGCAGTATGGGGTGGTTGCTTAAAAGACAAATGCAATTTTAAGATGCATATGCAGAGGTATAGTTCCCAAGTCACATGAATATTAGTTTCACTTTCTTCTAAACTGCCCAGATCCCACCAAGTATTGTACCCAATTCTGCTTCCCACACTTTAATAGAAGGATTCAGATAATTGGAATAGGTTCACTAAGGAGCGGTAATGAGCATCAGGGGACTGGAACCTAAATCCTATGAAGAGAATTCCCCAGTCCAGACAGATAGAGTCAAAAATATTTCAATACGCTTTTGAAAATAGTTTGAAAATACTTTGGCTCCATTATGGCTGTTCATGACTGTTTTTTATGTTTATCGCTTTGTATCCTTGTTGTACACTGCCAAAGAGTCACTTTTTGTGAGATATATATCAATCATTCTGCATCTTCTCTGCTGGATACATTATCCCCCTTCACCAAACTGTTTCCTTCATGATGCAAAATAGAAGAGAGACTACCTGGTGTCCAATTCTCCATCTTTATTCTTTTGCCATTATGTGAATTAAAGGGTTAAAGTTGGAATAGCTAGAAGACATTCCCTTTGTCCATACTAATTATCCACAGTATTATTTTAGTGACTCCAGAACCGACATAGACCAATATACGTAAATCTTTTGATATAGATAGATATAAATATATAGATAATGTAAATGCTTGTCTGTTCATGCCTCTATCTCTCCCTGCTTTTGCCTGCCTTTTGAACTTTTTTGCCAGTTAACTGTTTTTGTTGTATGCTGATGTTTAATAAGTAAACATCATACTATGCTTTTTGTTAGCTAAACTGTATGCTTGTTCGGATCCCAATATAGGGATTGATTGGGAGTGTATGCTGGGTGCAAATTACACTGGAAATTACCTACAGCAGTTTTCTAACACTCTCTGTCTGGCTTTACACATACATGACACATATATGGAAGAAATATATATATACACACACACACACACATACATACATACATACACATGCATGCATGCAATGGTCGTAAACTATTCTTTTCATGGAGGCTGAAATTCTAACCTTCCTTGCCAGAGAGTCAGCCCCATCACACACTGTTTCCAAACAAACATACACTGTGATGGCTTGCACTCCTTCATAAATCAGGGACAAGCAAAGCTAGATTTAGATGGTTGAAAAGAAGGCTATAGAAAAGCCACAGAGGATTGAATCACCAAAGCCAGAATGGCCTGCTTATGTTAATATAATTCATAAAGACTCTGCTCTAAGTATGACCCTAAAACAAGACTCATGTGTCAACATCACAGTCTGCTCACAGGAAAAGGAGAGAAAGGAAATCGGAAGTTCTTTTTGTTTCATTCTCCAGGACAAAAAGGTATTTAACTTCAGTGAAAGGTGGCCACTTCCTGTATGATCACTAGAATTTATCATAATTTCTGTTTTGCTCAAGTAGCTGGGATACTATCATTTCCCATGGTGTAGACACTCATTTCTGCTATTGACTATCATCATGTTTCTACTGACCATTGAAGCACTCTGAATGCAGCAAGGTGAATGTAGATATTATAAGCAAGGTTGCCTGTCCCATTCCACCACTAACTATCATCTGTCTATAGCCTAAAATCAAAATATATTGCCATAGGAGATGGTTGAAGCAAAAAAGTCAAAACAGGGCTGGGAAATCTGCCTGAAACTTAGAAAGATGCCATTTGTCCAGTGGCAGAGCACTTGCTTTACAGGTAGAAAGTCACAGCAAAGGGCAAAATGGCTCCATATTGAATTAAAAAACAATATAGTAAACTCATAGGGGATTCTAAATCAACCAAATTTTGATCTTAGATGCATCATAAGAATGTAAGAGCTCCACTGAGTCAGATTAACATCCCAATTAGTCCAGCGTTTGGTTCCTCCAGTGGTTACCCAGATGGAACTGAGAAACCCAAAAGCAGGATATGAGCACATCTATTGATAGATATAGGTTAGCTTTGTTACATTTATGTACATTGTTTTTTCCGTTTTACACAGTGCATGCTTGTACATTCAGAAACTAATGTCCCTTGAGGCTCAATTGGCATATGTTTCAATGATATCACTCCCAATACCATACAGACTAATTTATTTGAATGACATGTTTCAAAATAAGCTTTATAATATATAATAAAGGAAACAGACGTGCTGACTGTAAAAAGGTTACAGTGTCTAAATGGGGACAGAGGAAGAATACACAGCATTTTTGACAATGAGCAACTGGAGTTCAGAACATGGGCATTCAGCACTTGTCAGAAAGAAGAAACCCTCTGCAAGCAGTACTAGATATCTGCTGGCCATTTTTTGTACTGATCATATCATGACAATCAAATTGATTATTTTTAGTAATAGCAAAATCAGAACAGTCTTTATCTGATAACAACTAGAGTCTACTCCCTCTACTGCTGTAGACTTACCTATTCCATAGGAAGGCTGTAACTTAGAGGGGTGCTTAACAGGCCGAGACAAAATACAGTTTGGCTTCTGGAAATCATTCCTCTGAGTGCTCTGCTTGTCATAAGGTGGTTTAGGACGCTCTACAGTGGGCTCAGTACTTGGCCACCAATGACTCTTCACAGGCAATGAAAAGAATTGAATTCATCAATATCACGGTTACAGAGGTACAACAATTGAGATCACCCAGGGAGGAGCTAGTAAGTCAAAACCAGGTTTTGGGGTAATGCTAAAGATTAATTCACCAGTATGTGCGTGGAACTGAGCCTCAGGCTCAAGGGCTTACGTCTCCTCATCTAGCTCCCATCACAGCAAGAGATTGGAAGCATTCATTGTCATTTTAAACTAATTCAGCATTATTAGAAACTGGGAGACTGTGAAGTCAGGTCCTTAGGCATGGAATGAGGCTGGGTAACTTTGGGCCAGTCACTGCCTCTCACCAAAGCCACCTCACTGGGTTGTTGTTGTGGGGAAATAGGAGGAGGGAGCATTGTGTACACTGCCTTGAGCTGAGAAATAAAAAGGGGGAATATAAATCTAATAAACAACTTAATAACTAAAATGAGTTAGAATCAGCACTGCCTTTCACAAATCCTAGTTTAACTAACCACAGTTTGTTCTGATTTGGATTCAATGGCAAACTGTGTCTTGTTTTAAATATTGAAGTGGATGTTTTCAAATTTGTCCTTACAGCTACAACAAAACGCTGAAGCGAAGGGTGTGCTGGAGTCCAGACTTTGCCTGATATCATTTGTAGGAGCTGGGCTTCAGTTTCACTTTATACTATTTAAACAATAAGTACCTGTTTTGTTTTTGCATCCTCTGTTTCTATATACAATATTGACTCATTCGTCAACTTGGTGTGGCTTTTAATATACTTTGCATGTTGTGGTTGAGGGTTATTGCGCCACTCCAGTAAGTATCTTTCTTGTTTCTTTGGTGTACGTTCAATCTTCTCTAGTATATTATTTCTTTCTGGTACTTGAAGGTTAAATATTCTGAAGGTATCTGGGCTAAAAAGAAGAGAATGTGGAAGAAGAAAAAGAGGAGGAGAAGGAAGAAAGGGAGGGTTAGGGTTAAATTGAACAACTGTTTAATTTTATGTATTTATTTAGCAAATTCTTGTTTCTTCTAAAGTTGGGTCTCCAACAATAGTGTCCTCTGGAGGTTGGGTGTCAAAATCTGCCAGATGGCAGGTGTAGCATTGCAATTGCACAAAAGGGGCAGAGCTTCAGTCATGACACTGGACCACTATCTTGCAGTTTTTGACCCTCCTTGCAGACACCTATGAACATTTCTAGTCCAAGTCCAACTTCTTTATCATTGTACTAGACTGATTCTTGAGAGCTGTTTCTCAAAATAACAGGCAATTTAACATCATAATACAACATCATAATAACATAATATCCAACAATAACATCATAATAACATAATATCCAACAGTAAAGACAAAATGTCTTGACAATTCAATAAATAAAAGTGACACATGGAGGAAGTTAAAATGAAATAAAGTGGATGGCAAACAACAGTAAAAATGGAACGTGGGAGTATAAACCAAGGAGGTAAAATATGCTTCTTCTGTTAATAGCTATTGATATTTTACTATTTTTGCATTTTTTTACCATTTTGCAAAGAAAATATCTGTGTTTCTCAGCTTTGGCAACTTTCATCCGTGTGGATCGATTCACAACATTCTCAGCAATGGCCATGTTGGCTAGGGAATTCTGGGATTTGAGGCCCCCACAGATGAAAGTTCCTGGGTTGGGAAACTCTGATCTAGATCATATATCATGTATACTTAAATAATAAAGACAATACATCATCCATCTGGCCTGCAAATTTAGGAATGCAGGAAATTATAACAAAGCATTAATCAAAACAGCCTTCTCCACTGAATTTGGAAGTTGTAGTCCAAAACACCTAGAGGATACCTCAGTGGAAAAGACTGTTACCTGAGTCCTTTAACTGGAGATACTATGGATTGAATCTGGGACATTCTGTGTACTGTAGAAGCAAACCAATTCTAAAGAATGAAATCCAACCTTATGCTTTTCTTCTTCAGTTTCTATTACTGTAATATACCATGATACCAAGAAAAGACAGTGAAAGTTCCCAATGTGATGTTTTCAGTTTCTTTTTTTTTTTTTTATCCTTCAAAGCAGCTAAAGTGGTGAAATTGAATATAGAGAAGGGTGATTATTAAAAAAAACAACATTCGTTCATCCATGCTGCTTCTCTCATTTAAATTACTGTCTTGTTGAAACTGATCATAGCACTTGGCAAGGGGAATTCAAATCCAGAAAATGGCACAGGGGAAAGGTTTAAAAATAAGCCACTCCCCCAGCACTTTAATCCAACTTGCTTCATTGGTATGATTCAAATCATTAGTTAGATCCAATCACAAACATCACGCTTTTCAGGCATGCTTCCATAATTACCATGTCATGTTACATTACTGTAGTTGAGTATGAAAAGTGTACTCAGCTTTTCTCTCTAACAAAAAATCTCTATTGATTAAATTACCTTTATTGAATGATGAAACAAATGAGAGCCCCAATAGTTTAGGGCCATTTTTATACCTTGCATAGATAATGTACATTCTGGACTTTTTTTGAATAATACATATAAAGAGTGAAAGGAATAATATATAACTGTAGGCCTTTGCAGTTGGTAGAAATACGCAGGAGACAGGTGCCAGGATGCTCCGATTGGCTGCAGCATACTGTTGAATATCCATGAACTGTTTGAAGATGAATCTTTCAAATGCCTTCAACATTTACTGAACAACAGTATTGTAATGCTCATGTAACAGTGGCCGGTGGGGGCTATCAAGCAAAATAGCTGTCTTATACCAGATCAGTTTTAGTAAAAGTGTGCTGTTATAATGTACCTGAGGAGGAAAAGTGAAAGATATATGTTGCAATTCCAGACTGTGTAGCACAATGGGCAGGGTGCTAGACATGGGCTGCAGAGACCTGAGATTTAAATTCTAATGAATTATGACTCTCACCATATGCTAATCTCACTTCTTAGCCATCTGACATGGATGTTTTAATCTGGATTTTTGCATGGAGCAATAGGCTGAATTTCACAGTCAAGATGGTCCTTTCTGTCTTTATATTCTCAATTTATTTTATAAAATTGTCCTAAGTCTAAAAAAGGGGAAATTAACTTTCTTCAGTGCCTGCTTGCAAGGACAGAACTGAAGCTACATGAAAAAACAAGCATTTTGTTCACACAATATTTTATGTCAGGTTTGCTGCTAACCATAGATAAAGTACTAAAGGGGAGGTACACAAGATACTATAGCAAAACATGGCTTTGTTTGTGTCTTTTATATGTTGGCTATCTTTAAAGTTGGTTGGACAATGTGATTTAATTTTTTATTTTGGTTGTTCCTTTATTTTAGATAACAACAACAACAACATCAGTCAATTGGAAAAGGCAGCTTTACTTGGAATAGCTTACATCCTGAGACGATACCTTTAACACCATCAAACAACATCTGCCTATCCCAGGTCCTTGGGAAGGACTCGATAAGTGGATAAAAATGCCAAATCCAGACTAAACATCTGGCTGACTGCGACCACCACCACTGCCACCACCACCACCAATAATAATACTTTATCATGGCCAGATCAAGATTGGAGCTACCATTCAGTGGGGAGAGTGGGGGAGACAAAGTCTATTTCACTCTGTATGTGAGGATAAAAAAAAAAGTTAGCAGTAGACATGGTATGGCCGAAGCAAGTTCATTTTGCATCTCCTCCTTCCTTTTGTTCTTAAGGCTTATCATGATGTGCAAACCCAACCACTATGGTTTGTAAACCATAGTTAATTATTTCATGCAGTAGGTATCTCCTGTAATTATTCTAGAAGTATTTTTCAAACTTGGCAATATCCCAGAATTATGGGAGTTGAAGTCCACACACCTTAATGTTACCAAGTTTGAAAAACACTGTTCTAGATAGTCAATCAATTCTCAATGACATTCTCCTCATGTCAGTGCAACCAAGGTTGGAGGCAAGATCTGATGTAAGAAATTACAAGGCTCATGGCTGAGTCTCTTAGCTACTGTGCAGCTCCAGTACAGAATTGCCAGGACTGTCACCTTTTGAGCAACAAGAAATCAGAAATATTCCAGCTTTATTCATTAGAAGTGGCTGTTCAGGAAATCCTTCTTGTAAAATACATGAGCCTGGCTATTCCCACTCAACATTCCTCCTCCCCATGTTTCATGTTCCTGATCTTTTGCCTTCTCTGCACCTCCTTCCCTCTTCTTTCCATCAGCCACAGCCTCTTATCCCCAGCCATATTAATGACTTCCTGGGAACATTCCAGACATAATGGTCTCCCTCCTATTCTTAGACTCCTGATCTTATCAGCAGCCTCTGATACAGTAGGGCAACATAGCATCTTCATCACCTTGGTATATATATAGGGTTTGGCCTGAATCTCTTCCTCTAATTGCTTTTATCACTTCTCGACCAGTTCCCCTCAAACACCCTCCCCAACTTTCCTAAGATAAGGGGCCGCATCCCATCTGCGTGCCTGATTATCTAAAAGCTCAGATGACCCCTCCCACCTTCCCATGGCTCTTAATCAGTTTTTCCCCTCCTGGCAACTTCCAGAGGTGCTCCCTCCAGCATGGCCATGCTGACTAGGGGTGATAGGTCTTGTAGTCCAGCATCGGCAAAGCACCGTGTTAGGAAGTCTGCTCTTGATGATGTATTTGCCACAAGAGAAGCCCTACCACAGGGCAATTTTTGAGCACCTTCAGGGGAAGAAAGCTGCAATGATTCTATGATGAAGTTTGGTGGTTTTTTTCATGACTGTGCCTGCAAAAGCCATTTCACCCCTCTGATTTCTGCCTCACTTGATTTCTTTTTACCACCAAGAAATGCTGCTGTGTTTGGTTTGTTTGATCAAGTAGTAAATTGCACTCAACTGCTTCTCCCCAAACCCCATAACCCTTGGAGAAGTATAGGTTCCCACAAACCAGGATAAAGATCCTGATTTTTCAGAACACTCTGCACCACACAACCCTCTCACTCGTGGGGGCACTTCTGCAAGACCCAAAAGAGACAATACCAGCAACAGAACGCTTACTGCTGAGTTGCTCTTTTCCGCCGACTAGATGTGGTCTCTATCATCTGGTCCATGAGGGTGGCCCAGTGGGGGGAGGAGAGAGAGAAGTGGGGGAAAGGGGTCCAGTGTACAGTTCCCAGCAGAGTGGCAGGACCTGTATACTTTCAAATTGTGCCCCCAGGTTTTGATGCTGAGTGGTTGCTTAGTGACCAAGGCCCAGTGGGAGGCAGAGAAAGAATGCAGAGGGCGGAGTCTAAGCAACAGGCATGCTCCCTTGGCCCAGCGTGAATAGTGCCACGCAGCTGAAGGAGAAGGGGAATGTGCAGCTGCTTTCAAAGGCTGCCTTTACAGTGCAAACTCAGCTATTCAGTATCAAACTTTATGGGGCTTGTACCCAGGACTGCAATGTTACACAGAGCACAGCAGCGCATATTGTTAGCAGTGGGAGTAAAATGATATTCACTGTGGAATTCTCTGTAGCACTGCAGTCCAGTATATGCCTACATGGTATACTTTTTAATAGACAGACTTGCTAGTGGCCCCAATGGGAGGCCTCAGTGGCCTTAACGTGCCTGCCAGCACCTCCCTGCATGTCTCTCAAGCTCCGTTCTGCATAACTTTTTACATTTAAAGATAATTTTTTGAATTAAAAAAAAAAAAAATAGCTGATATGCTTCAAAGCAAAGTGCCTGCCTCCAACCTCTTTATCTTCCAGAATTTCTCTTGTCCCCAAACAGGCCCAATAAACTTAGAAAATAGAATAACCGGTGGCTGCAGCTCAGTGTTTTGTTTGGCAGGCTGTAAAAAGTGAAGTTTCATTTAAGTCCAGCTTGACTCCTGGTGACTTCATGGATACGTTCCTGCAGTTTTCTTGGCAGCAGGGTGGAAGTAGTTTCCCATTGCCTTCTATCAATTTTAACAAACATCTTTGTTATGTATTTTTTTTAAAAAAATGTTTGTGTGTTTATTATTGTTTTTTTACTTCCTAGTTTACCCTACAGCCCTGAAGGAATTCCATCCAAATACTAACCATGCTTGACCCTGCTCAGCTTCCAAACCAGCCAGGATTGCCCTGGGTGATAGGTAATATTTGAGTAAACCTGTACTGTGCAACATATGCTCCATACTGCAAATGGACTACTTCCCTGTACCATTTGGAATATCTTTCCAACATACTCTCAACATTTTAAATTGTCTACTAGTTCAGAAGACTGGCAACTTCTGCAGTAATGTGCTTTTGCAGGTCACGGCTTAGGAAGCACCTTGTCTGTTCACCAGAGGAGAATGCTGAGTATGAAACAACCAACCAGTTTAACTTAGTATGGTTTCTGTATCAAGTAGCAATGGTTTCCAGAGTTTTAGGTGAGGATTTTCCAGCCCACCATGACACTGAGACCTTTCCAGGCAAAGCATGTGCTCTATCACAAATTAAGGTTTTGTTGCTGTTTTTTAATGAATGCTTGTTTTATTGAATTTGATAATTTTGGTTTCGGGTTTTATGATCATGTTTGGTTTGAATTGGTTTCATAGCTTTGATTTTATAGTTTATCAAGAGTGTTGAATTTACAAAAGATGGGATATAAATCTTATCCATAAATTCATAAGCAAACACATCTGCCTTAGTTATAAAATCATAAGAATTGGAAAGGACACTGGTCCAACTCTAGCCCAACCCCATGCTCAGTGCAAAGATCGCTTCTTGCTTTTTATGTCCCACGCTGTTTATGTTGGCCTAAAAACATCTGAGGTTTTGAGTACCACGACTGGCATCCCTGCTGTGGTGTCCTGTGAAACTGAGCATCCTGGCCTCTTGCTTCTCCCTTTTTCTGCTTTCTGGACTCCAGTCCTTGGCTGCATATTCTGTTCTGAGCTTTTGCTACCCTCCCCTTTTGTTGTAGCTTAGCACTGTTCTGATGAGACTGGTCAGGTGCCTGTCAAACACTTCCTTTTCAGCTTTTGTAGTAGGTATCCCATCTCTTCCCAGGAGTTCTTCATGAAGATAGCATAGGTCATTGTTGTGGAATTCAAACCCTTCTCTGTGACAACATTTGCATAACCAGTTGTTGCCTTCCAGGACTCTGTTTTCTTTTCTCGCACCTTAACCCTCCACTGGAATGATGGATGAAAAAACTACCTGCGCTCCCAGTTCTTTCACCTTTCTGTCCATGGCCTTGTAGTCTTTAGAGATTCTTTCAAGGTCTTTATTTATAGGTAAATTTAAATAGTCCTGAGAACCTTTCTATCATGTCCAGTTGCCCCAGTTCCCCTTAACAGGGAATCACCCACCACCAGGATATGCTTTTTCTTTTTCAGGGTGACTTATGGATTTCCTCAATCTGTGAGGGCCAAAGTGTTCTTTTACAATGCTTTGTGGCATGTTTTGTTCAGGCTGTCGACTACAGTGACAACTTGTCTCTGGTTCCGGAGTTCCACTGGCATGCAGTCTTCCTATTCTTGCTTTTTTGGGCCATGTTCTTCTATGTATTTGCCTCTGCCAAAGGATGTTTTCCTTGTTCTTTGGTGTTCACTTCTCTACCTTTCCTGGTGAGCTTCAGCTGCCCTGTCCAGGAACCCTTCATTTTCCCTGATGTATTTCAGTGTAGCAACTCTCTCCTCAAGTCTCTTCACATTCTCCTCCAATAAGAAAACAAGCTTGCACTTACAACAGGGGTATTTGGGGATTTCTTCAGACAAGCAGACAAACATTGCACACACATTGAAATCACAGTGATGCTTCCCTCACTGTCCATCCTGCTTGGAGCCTTCCCTGCCAACTTCCCTAGCCAATTTTTCTGAAATCTTCCATTTGCTACTCTTGTCAAAAGCTCCCAGAAGCTGAATCTCTGGGTGAGAACCAGTCTGGACTGGAAAAAGAAGAAGGGAAAGAACAAAAAGAAAAGGTGACTTCCCTTGCTGAACTCCTTTGTCAAAATCCCATTGGTTTTCCCTAATTGCTTGCTCAATGGCATTAAATGACTTTTTAAAATATGCATCATATCAGATAAACCCATGGAGGATCCACGAGAGAAGACTTGAATTTAATTGTGCTGCAGGCTGTTTGTTCTGAAATTCTAATTCATGGTCCATATTCAGAGAACATATAACTGATTGCAGCTGAATACTTCACGTGATCTGCACTCTGTGCCCCTCTTGATGCATCTTCTCTGCCTATTTGCACTGGGCAAAACAGTGTTCTTTTTGAAGCTCCCTGGTCTTTTCCATTATCCAGCAAATGTTAGCATTGTGATGTCAATACCTGGCTTCGAGCATCCAAATCTCCTGGGCTGGCCTTGTTTGTTTCCTGTCTTCAGTTTGGGTAATTGGGCTGAGAGAATCATGTGTATGTGTGTGTGTGTGTGTGTGTGTGTACATATAGATTATACACACACAGAGAGAGTTTCTTTTCTCATTTTAGAATCATAATATCTTGCTTTAAGTTGACAGAAAGTAATAGTCAAATTTGAAGAAAAATCCATAATTTGCCTATTGAAATGTCACAACTGAAATGATATGACATAATGCTAATCAATGCACAAGCCTAGAAAGGATGTCTTTTTCTTTAGTTCACCTAAACTGCTCTATTCTCCGGTCATTCATTGCCACTGAATGTCTCACAGTTTTATATAATTAAAGCTGCGGCATACAAGATGATGTTCAGTTGGGAGAGTATCAGCACACGTTTCTTTTTCTGAACTGATTTCTCACCACTTGTTTTCTAATTTAACTGGTTAGGACTTCCATGTGGCCTGAAATTTGCCAGGGAAAGGAATGTTCCCCAAATTAAGAAGAATCACTTCTTATCTGTGCCTAGACTTCATTTGCATTTGGCAACATATGTTTATTTTAGAACAAGAGTGAGGAATTGTGGACTTGCAGATGTTACTAAATTACAACTCCAACCATCTCTTACAATTAACCATACTAGCTGAAACTGCTGGAAACTGAATCTGAATAACAATGGGAGTACCATAGGTTCCCCATCTTTTTGACACCTACCAATAATTTACATTTGATCATAAGCTAATAATCTATGATTCTTCAGCGGAAATAATCAGTCAGGATGTAAATACTTATAGAATCTGTTCTCTTATAGTTGGATCTCTCTGTATCTTGGTATGCCAGAAATTGATGATAACATTTGGGAAAGCCACTACCCACATGCCTTACTTGTATATATCTAGGTTACTGGTTAGTTTGTATTGATATGAGAATGCCAACTAATTATACTTACCTTTGGTCTGATCTGGCAGTGCTATTCTTATATTCATGAAGCTCCAGAAATTCCATTCTTGTGAAGATGATAATGATTGTGATGATTAAAATGTAGTAGCACAGAAAAAAGAATACAGTGGTACCTCGGTTCACGAACTTAATTCGTTCCGCGACTCTGGTCGCGAACCGAATTGGTCGTGAACCGAATCAAATTTTCCCATAAGGTTCAATGTAAA